TACCTCCTTCTTCGTCATGACTTCGCTTCGTCCGCAGTATAATCAGAAAATTATTTCCATGCACGCATTTGCACCTGTCGCTTACATGGCCAACAATAACAGCCTGCTGTTGAGAATGCTGTCCCGTTACGCCAACAACATCGAGGTAACTAGCTAACTGCATCATTTTTTAACTCTAAAAATACCTAAGACTACGTAAGTATTTCAAAATCCTGGTCATACCTACGTTTTATTTTCAGTTTGCACTTTCTCTGATTGGTGTTGGAGAATTTCTGCCAAACAACAACGTGATGACATGGGCTGGGCAGGCTATGTGCATGGATGAAGTCATGTTGCAGCCTATGTGCTCCAATATCATTTTCCTGTTGGGTGGATGGAATGAATGCCAACACAATGCTGTAAGTAAACCTGTTAATTTTATAGAAAAAATATTTTGTTAGTAATAAAAATCAGTTGCTTCAATCACAACATGCAGGTAGGTTACTTACCTACACACGATATCAGTCATATCTCTATTTAATAAGTATTATTTGCGAAACACCCATTATTCACGGATTATTATAATATCTATTGTGAATTATGAAGCATAGGCTTATTGCGCAAAAAGACCTTAACCGTAACCAGACCTAGTTCTTTTTTAGGTACCAGTGGTTTGTAAGTACAATTAAGTAAGTACAAGACTAAGTTGATTTTCTTCTTTTCTAGACAATGCTGCCCCTGAAACTGGGCCACACGCCTGCTGGAGCGGCTGCTAGGCAGTTCGTCCATTACGCCCAAGGAATAAGCGGCAAGGAGTTCCGTCGCTACGACCACGGAACCATCTTGGCCAACAGGCGTGCTTATGGAAGCTGGAGCCCCCCACGCTACGACTTATCCCGCATCACAACTCCCGTGTTCCTCCACTACTCAGACACCGACCCTCTAGCTCATGTCAATGACGTAAACAGGCTGTTCCGAGAACTTGGAAGACCCATTGGGAAATTCCGGATTCCTATGGCAACCTTCAGCCACATGGACTTCATATGGGGAGTGAATGCCGAGGATCTGCTGTACAGTCGCACTGTAAACCTTATCAAGGCGATGGACGTTAATGGACTTGATGGATTAGATGATACACTTTTGTAAAAAGATTTCGAAGTCTGGATGCGTAAATTTAAGAAAATGTAAATACTTCATTGTTTTTTTTATATTACTTTGTGCATTAGAATTAAGATTCTAATTACAACTTGTACCTACTTAAGTGTTTTCACTTCGCACATGCTTTGTAAATATGAAAATACAGTAAAATTATTATCCTAAAAATGATTGTGTTATTTCAATTTTACCTTACAAAGACACAATTTTTATAAAATACCTAATGAAGAAAATGCCTACCTACATTAATAACTTTAAGTAACATAGTTATTTACTTAACACATCTAGCTAGCTAGTATACAAGTTAGCTGTTATTGTATAGTAGGTAGTACTAAAATATTAAAAAATAAGGATCTGACAGAAGTTAAAAGCTTATCAATGAGGTAGGTAGGTAGGTACGCCATAGAACTTGGAATAATGAATTATGGAAAAAGCTTATAAGAGGTATAAACGGTTTATTAGTTGATCAATGAAAAAAGTCGCATCCGTTCACCTGGGTGAAATAATTCCTAGGTGAAAAAAGGCGACCGCTTTAGTCGACTCAATTCATCTTGAAAATGTAACGGGATGAAGTGGTTCAAATTCAAATTAAATTTTTTATTGCTTGAGTGTTCCGAGGTGAAATGAGGACACTAAAAAATCCACTTGTTCACCCAGATGATATCACCCAGGTGAACAAAATAAACCGTTACAGCATCTATAACATTAAAAGCTTTTTTCATAATTCTGCTCTGCTTTATAAAAAGGTTGATGTTATAAGTAAAATACATATTGTTTGATAATTTAATTACCATAGTTTTTGAATCTACAGGGTGTTAGGTAAATGGGTGTATGAGCCGACACTAGCCCATGTTAACATGGGCATATAAATGGTATGGTGAAGTCAGAAATTTGATATCAACATTTTTTTTATTTTTTTTTCATACAACATAAATTTTATAAAATCCGATTTGTATGAAAAATAAAATAATTAAAATGAAGATATCAACTTTCTGACTTCACCATACCATTTATATGACCATGTTAACATGGGCTAGTATCAGCTCATATACCCATTTACCTAACACCCTGTATAGTCGTTTCTCGAACAACTTTAGCCTAGCAGTTAGTTTAAAAGATAACGGTCTCTCTTCTTCTCATACTATTATAACATCAGTAGGTTTACGTAGTAGAATGAGAAAGAATCTCCTTAAAAATACTTTCGCCTTCATTAATTAATTCCGAGTCCATCAAAGTCGGCAAGTTTGTCAGAAAAGCTTTGTTCGCTTTGTCACGAGAATCTATTCAATTCTTTCGAATAACTTCCCTTCAGCGCTGAAATCGTTCAGTCTCTGTTGTTAAGAAAAGCCACTGTTCCAATTCTGTACACTTAACTAAGCAAAGTCGCTAAAATGAACATTTTATATTAAGAAGATACTATATCATATAATATGATTCATATTTACTGAGTAAGCTTCAGGTAGATTTGCTATTTTTCGCTTTGGTTTAGGATTTTACGCGCCAGTGATTTGCTCCAGCCGTACAAATCAGTGTTGTTGAAGATGAATATTAAGTACGAGTATTAACGGATTATTTTAATAATTACCTAATACTTAATTACTTACCTATCAGCGATGGTGATTGTAGTACAAAGTTCGTATCTACTCGTACTACGAACTACCAATCAATAATGCCATAAATTGGCATCTAACCTAAGTATTTGTAATAGGTGCGATTTTACAAGAAAAGTGTGTAGTCTGATAGATTATGCCGGCAACTCTATCTTACGCTTTAGTATCTTGTACCTAATGCCTATTACTCTTGCTACTGTCTATGACTATTATCAATTAATAACTTTATCAATCTGGGAAAAACTATAAAGACTCTGAACTATAATCTGCCTTTCATATTATTGCAATGTTACTCACAGCTGTCTTGTTGTGTTTAGTGACTGCGGTGACTAGTTCACCGCATGCTGATTTTATAGAAGATCTGTACAGAGATTCTAAATTCAGTGCAAGGATATCTGATAATATTCTCGAAGATGCCTCTTTGGACGTGGTGAGTATGAGCCTGATTTTATTAGGTAAGTAAATAGAGTTATTTGTTCATGCGTAGTTTTAAAATAATCTTATGTATTTGTTTTTAGCCCGATCTTGTCAGGAAGTATCGGTATCCTTTGGAAGAGCACTTCGTTAGGACCGAAGATGGGTACATACTGGGAGTGCACCGCATACCTCACGGTCGGGACCGCAACAACGTCCCTGGATCTAGGCCGATAGTGTTCGTGATGCACGGCCTATTTTCTTCCTCCGCAGACTGGGTCTTGGCTGGTCCTGGTTGTGGGTTTGGTAAGCGATATTTGTATTGTGCAATATTGCAACAGACGTGGATGTATAGTGTATAAAAATAAGAGTTATGTTTTTTTTTGTAACAGCTTACATATTGGCAGAAGAAGGATTTGATGTTTGGCTGGGTAACGCGCGTGGCAACTACTACTCTCGTCGCCACGAGCGACTGAACCCTGACGCTATCCTAAGTACCGCTTTCTGGCAATTCTCCTGGGATGAAATCGGAAACAAAGATTTGCCAGCGATGATCGACTATGCCCTCGCTCACACCGGGAGGGACAGGCTTCACTACATCGGACATTCACAAGGCACAACATCCTTCTTTGTTATGGGCTCCCTGCGGCCAGATTACAATCAGAAAATTATTTCTATGCATGCGTTCGCTCCCGTCGCATACATGGCGCATAATCAAAATCTTCTCTTAAAGGTGCTCTCACGTTATGCTGACAATATTGAGGTAAGTATAATGTAAAAACAAACACTCTACATTATGTATTATGTAATTTTCAGTTACAATGAAGATACACCAAAGCCTATTTTAATTTTCAGTTTGCTCTCTCCCTTATTGGAGTTGGAGAATTTTTCCCGAACAATAATGTTATGACATGGGCTGGCCAGGCTTTATGTATGGATGAAGTCACTTTCCAGCCTTTATGTAGTAATATACTTTTCCTTATGGGTGGATGGAGCGAATGTCAACATAATGCCGTAAGTATTATGTAGAGAGTGTTGTTACACCCTACTTCAGGGTTCTTTTGAAGTTTTTATTTATTTATTTGGAAAACATACCTAAAGCTTACAGTTTCTTGGTATCTTTCAGTTTGCTAGTTATAGAAAACAATGAGGAGCATATATATAGGTAAAAAAGTATACCAAACACGCTCTTGTTCAAGCTAAACAATGTGTTTTCCAGACATTGTTCCCTATAAAGTTGGGACACACCCCGGCCGGCGCCGCATCCAGGCAGCTCGTGCACTACGCCCAAGGCATCTCTGGCAAGGAGTTCCGTCGCTACAACCACGGCAGTTGGTTGGCCAATAGGCGCGCGTACGGCAGCATAAACCCTCCTCGGTACGACCTTTCTCGGATCACGACACCAGTGTTCCTACATTACTCGGACAGCGATCCTCTGGCTCACGTCAATGACGTAGACAGACTGTTCCGCGAACTTGGCAGACCTGTCGGAAAATTCCGAGTCCCGCTAGCAACATTCAGCCACATAGACTTCATGTGGGGCGTCTCTGCTAAGGAACTGCTTTATATGAGAACTATCAACCTTATTAGATCAATGGATGTAAATGGCTTTGTGGATGAAAAAGATTTGACTGACGAATAACTTTGTACCTCTAAAATAAAAAACATTGCATTATATTAGTGCTGGTTGTTTCTTTTCAAATAATATTTCAACTACTTCAACAGTACATCTCTACTAAATAAAATTTTAAAATAAAATGAAAATAAATTAAAAAATTAAATATTGAACAATAATGATTGTAGTACATACATGTAACTAATATGCTTTAGTACACGGATTATTTGATGAATTAACATTTTCGTTGATTAGCTAACGCAGCTTCCTGTAACCGTGCTTTGGTTTTTTCATGAGATACTAGTTTGTTTACAGTACGTTCATCGCTATAAATGATGTTATCATCTTTATCAAACGCTAGCCCATAGCCATTTTCGAGTGACAATATTTTTACTAATTCCTTATTTTCATCGATTGTGTAGATTCCATCTTGTGCAATGAAATGAGGAACACCAACAACATCTGTGGTTGCTCCTCGAAATGTAATATTTCTGTCATCATATAGAGTTGCTAATTTAGAACCTTTCGTCAGTATAAATAACCCAGTTGAATTCACAAACATCACATTATCTTGAGCGTCTACAACGAAGTGTTGTATCTGATAGTCTTTCAGCTCAGGTATTATAATCGGTTTGTTGTCTTTATAAATGTAGAGGTTCTGGTTGGCCGTGTCTACGAAGTATAGATTATTTTGAAAGTACATATCAAAGATATCGATACCGCTTATCAGAGCCGGTTTGTTGACATCTTTTGTGTGAAAGTTGTATTGGTATATGCCATCGCTGCCCCCCAGGTACACCGCGCCGGTGGTCTGATCTACGGCGCTCGCGAACCCATTGCGTATGCTCGGTATAATCGTCGCTAATCCACTTTGGAGGTCTAACACGACCGAGTGAAAACTGTGCTCTGAAAAATCATCAGCGTTTATGCAGAAAAACAAACAGTCTTTAGCTCTGCTCAGTGAAAATTTATACGGTATGTTCACATCCGCTAAAATTACATGCTTTTTGTGCAGTTTCTCGTTAACTTCCATAAAAGCCACATCTTGCTGATAAAACATTATTGAATCTCGAAGATCACATAATTTATCACTTTTTATTGATCAATTTGCTAAATTAAACTGAAAATATACAAAGGGATTTAGGACATAATTTGAGTGAACCAGTTGTGACACGAGTCACTTGTGATTGACTGTGTACATGTACATCTATAGATAATATCAACAGAAGAAATGAGAAGTTAACATAATCCTTAAATGCTCTTTGAGTATTAGGTATTTTATGCTCAAAGTAGCAGTGTAAAATCATTGGCTAAGAATTCTCTTTATGAGAATAAGTAGTGTAAGTTGAATACGTAGGTATACCTTGANTACACATAATATGTAGGTATATCTACCATATGCCCCGTTTGAAAACTGCAATATGATAATAATGTAGACTAGTTGTTGCCACGAAACATTATGTAGATAAGTATACGTAGGAGGTGCTTAAGCTTTGTTTTGAAATTGTTTCAGAGAAACATACTTATTAACATTTAACAGAAAAAGTTCAAAACAATAATATTTTTTGTTCCATAAAATCTGTTGTTACGTTTTACCTGTTTTTGCATGCTTAAGTTTTCCAAGCAATCCGCCCACGTCCAATTTCTCAGAAAAATGGAAATTCATATACCTACTTAATAATAAATACTACTTAAGCATACTAAAATGTAAAAATGTGCAATAATAAAAATAAATACATTACCTTTATCTCAGAGAACCTAGTTATTTTCCTAAGCTCTTAGGTACCTATATGAACACATATCTACAGTTCACTGTGATTATTAATGTAAAGTTAGTCATAATACCATGCCAATTACCTATTCATAGATCGTTTATAACTTATAATCCCCAATAAGAACACGAGTTTAGAGTTAGCGGCTAAATACAGCTTAATGGAGGATCTATTTCTAAAAAGGTCAACCGCATCGTGCGAGGTGGCAAGTGATCCAGCGCTTAACTCGGCCAGTGTTTTTACTCGACAAAATGGCGACGCACAAGCCGTGTAAAGTCAATAACCGAAAATAAAAAAAACTCAGTCAATGCCTGAGGTATGGGAGCGGCACGGGAAAGAAATCTGAAGTCTCGTTGACTTTTGACCAGGAATGTTATGGATAACCGTAACCGAAACTTTCGGATATCCGAAATTATAAAATATCCATAACCGTAATCGTAACCGATCGAAAAGTTTCGGATGTAGGCAGTATTAAATTGATTTTTAGGTTTCCGTAGCCAAATGGCAAAACCCTTATAGATTCCTCATGTCTGTCTGTCCGTCTGTCCGTCCGTATGTCACAGCCATTTTTTTCAGAAACTATAAGATCTATACTGTTGAAACTTGGTAGGTAGATGTATTCTATGAACCGCATTAAGATTTTGATGGAAAAAAAAAGTTTTTTTTAATACCTCGTAAATCGTAAAATAGCATTATAAAGGCATAATAAATAGCCTGATTTACCTTTATAAGTCATCTAGTATCAATTTTAATTTTTTTATTACTTTTTATTCGATGTAAAGTGTGTGGCCTGAATGAACAGTTTTGGACAACTATTGCAATTTGCATTCTAAAGCACAGATATCCGTAACCGTAACCGAAACCGGTATAATATCATTCCTATATCCGTAACCGTATCCATAACCGAAACTACATATCCATAACATCCCTACTTTTGACGTCTCAAAAACAGTCCAGTGCCGCTCCCATACCTCAGGCGACTGACTTAACTAGGGTTGCCACCTTTTTTTTTTAAATATAAAGTATATCAAAGGTCGGAGAAAGAAAACAGACAGTATTTAAAAAAATAAACAGTTTAGCTCTACATCGCGTACCAAAATGTAGTGTTGAGCATTTACTTTTAAAAATATGTATGGATACTACTGATGCTTGCTGTGAAAACAGTATTTTGTATACTTTTTTTTTGTTCAACAGTAAAAAGTTTAATTTAGTGAAAAACAGTATAATACTGTTCAAAACAGTATAGTTGGCAACCCTAGACTTAACTGACTGAGTTAAGTGCTAGACCTATAGTGGCAACATAATAACGTGGCCCGCGGAACATTGGTTCCGACCAAGCGGAACATTGAGCTCTGTTTCCCTCTAAATTGAAAATGAAAGTTGGGCGAGGAAGTATTTGCTCGCAGATGAGTTGAATAATAGTTTTGTTTGCTATTGTCATTGAGAACTTCTGTTTTGGTTAGCATTTTAATGGAATAGGTAGTGTGTGTACTTAGGTCTTTAAGGCACCAACGAGTTGCACCAACTTATTTTAACCGTAACTTTAACAGTAACCGGTGTTTTTTATAAGAAGTTAGACAGATTTTTGACGTTTGTTAAAGTAAGATGGTGCAACTCAGCCTAAGTAAGTGATTAGATATGAAGTTACCGTCTGCTCTAGTAGCTATCTAAATAGGTATTATTATGTAAAGGTGTTGCGATTTCTCGTAGAATTTAAAAGAATCGTTTGAAGTTTTAATTACGTTAGGCTATAGCTGAAATTATTACGAATATACACGAAGGTCAATGGATATATTATTACACAATAGATATATTATTTTAATTTAGAAGAATAAAGCATCACTACCTAATTAACGTCTTCATTACTTACTTAATGTTCGTACACGTGTTGAAATACGGGTAAACCTACTTAAATAAACTCTACAATCTCTCTCTACCCTACAAACCAAGTAGTAGAGATGTTATGGATGTAGTTTCGGTTATGGATACGGTTACGGATATTGAAATAATATTATACCAGTTTCGGTTACGGTTACGGATATCTATGCTAAGTATAGAATGCAAATTCCAATAGTTGTCCAACACTGTTCATTAGTGTTCATGCGTGACGAATAGAATAGGTACAGAAGAGATTTCTTTGGCATTTGTGTCACCTTCTTTTGGTCTCACAAAAAAGCTTTTACATGTACCTTTAAAATGCAATCATTGCCAGCGTAAGGACTTGCTTGACTTTGACTCTGCCTACATCCGAAACTATTCGAAACTTTTAAATCGGTTACGGTTACGGTTACGGATATTTTTTATTTCGGACATCCGAAAGTGTCGGTTACGGTTACGGATATCCATAACATCCCTGCCAAGTAGCTTTACCTTAAACTTCGAGTCGCAATTATCGGAAAAGGAACTTAAAAGTAATTTACTTAAAACATCTGCGAAAAGTTTTTATATGCTAGCTAAATGTTTTGACGGGGATTCTTACTTCCTACTCCGCAGCATAATAGGCATGTAATACCATTATAAATATAAGTGGCAAGTGGAAATGGACCGTAATTTATATTCTTTGGAAGTAAGTCCAGCTGCGAATGAGCCCAACCTGTTTTACCGAAATGTGAGACGACGCAAATGAAAACAAATGAATCTTGGCCCTGAATTTGTTGATGCCTTTTTTACGGGGAAAATGCGTTGAATCGCATCCTACCTTGCGGGGACAGGGTAGGTCATGTGGGGCTCACCAAGACAGAAGGACGAGACATACCCACTAAAAAGACCCCGGTGCTCCGTCATTCGCCATAAGTGGGAGGAAAGCTGTGGGTTTCCGGACAAAGCCTTCTCTACCTCTCTCCCAAATTTGTTGATGCCTACTAACACCAGAAGGTTAAAAGTAACTACATACTTATTTGTGCGCATGATAGTCAATAATATTATGTAGAGTTTAATATGTAACTCATTTTTACATATCTAAGTACCTACCTATTGTAAAACTGGAGATAGGTACTCAATTAATCTCACTGGGTTGTTGGAGAGGAAAATAGATTTATTTTCTCTTAGCGATAAGTCCGCCTGAATTTTCTGGTAGGCATTTTACCTAGGTATTTTCTGTAATTATTTCTCAGGTAAGGTGTATTTGACAAATACGTAATACATACCTACCACATTTTTATTTAACTAAATCCTTAACAAAATAGCGTCGAATAAATAATAACTCGTCATAACTGGTATTCAGCCAAGTACATAAACTTAATCGCCTATTAACTTTCAATCAGCCTTTATCATGTTTTCCTTTTAGTAAGCAATTGAGTATAGCTGGTATTACCTACTTATTGGATTAACAAAGCTTGCAGATTATGCTTATTCCTTTCTATGATAATATAATATAAATCGATTTTCATTCAAATAACGTCTCTTTTGTCTCGTTTAGTGGAATTGGGAAAATCGGAGGTTCAAGTATTGTAGTTCTTGGTAAAGCACAGCATTCATAGAATTGAATGTATAGGCTCGTGTTCAAATATCTAGATTAGATTAGATAAGAAAGATATTCGAATGCTTCACACAAACCCACGTAAATATTCTTGGCTATGGGCTCAGAAAATGTAAACGCTTAATTAGCTAGAAGAAATAATGTAGATAATTACGCATGGTAAGTCTAGCCGATAGCTGTGCTGTCAAAGAATATATTTTTGTTGCAAAATAACTAATTACAACTACTAAAGTGTTTATTTTACTAGCAGTAGCCAGCTTTAGGTTTTCATCAATCAATAAAACGCCGTTTACCAGGTAGGTGCTGTTTTATTCCGTCATACACCGTACGTTTCAGTACTGAACACGTGCCTAGGCCTTTGTTTGTGATACATACTACTAACGACCTGTTCTAATGCGTCTTTTGTCTGGCAGTTTACAGGTCGAATGAGTAGAATTACAGGGCGGGAACGCTATTATAGCGGCTCGGAAGGACAGGACTTAATCTTAGTATTAACAGGAATGTGATATAATGGGGATCTTAATTCATCTTTAAAGCGAGTAATGATATCTGCATTAAAATACTTATTAAAATTTACTTACCCAGGAATAATCTAGAATAACCATTTCATTTTCAATGCCATTGACGTAGAGACATTATCATAATGTATATCGTGGTAATATTCTGTTTAGTATTCTCAGCCTGATAAACACTTGTAAGGTTTTAAGATATTGATCTTAATAACATACCTACTTATCGGTTACGATAAGAATAGTGTTTAAAAGAAATAAATTCCCAGCCCATTACTATATTTTAATCAAATTAAATGACCATTCCACTGATAACACTGCAAAACAATTTGTTGAAGTAAACTAAATCGGTTACATTGAGAAGTGAAAAGCTAAATAAA